GATTGCTGATGGTGGTTCGTTTTCATCTTCTTTGGTGGAAAACTCCCGAATCTCTACGGGTCCAAAGCTCACCCGTCGATTGCCTCGGCAAGATAACACTTTGGGGTATTGTCCGGATACCTCGTCGTCCAAGGGTATTTCTTCAAAGGATTCGTCCCGTTGCTGCTTCAACTGAATCCAGGATGGTGACTCCTCAGCCATGCTACCCCTGCGAAAGGGACTCATGGCATCCACCAGAGTCATGCGTCGCAGTGCCGGTGTCTTGAGAATCTGGTCATCATCTTCTTGCTGCTTTTGTTGCCGGAGATGAAGATGATAGATGGTATCTGAGGCTCGTCGATCTGGGTTAAAACGGGATGGACTCGTGCTCTTGTTGCCCAAGATATCCTTGTCATAACCGCACTGGCGGTTCTTCTGAATGGTATTCTCGTAGGTAGATACCACGGGAGCAATGGAGGGGCGGCGGTTTGTCATGGTAACAGTCGAAGTTGTAGTCATCCTATCTAAGCTAACCAGGGGTATTTGAGACGAGGCAAACTAACTAATGAACTGGTTTAAGCTGGTACCGGTAATAGCTGTACCACCAAAGGTTGTCCAGGATTTCCAAGCACTGTCGCCAATACAAGCACTGGTTAAAGTTATCAATCGCCCTTTGAGCAAGAGGTGGCATGCAAGATGATTTTGTGAACCCACAGAAACGGCTGTTTTGCTGATGCAACAGGGCATTGTTGGATGAACATTTTTGTCACACTCTAAACTATTACTGAAGCTTGATAGTCAATGATACTTTGCAGGGACTTTGATGGATTATTTAATTCCACAAGATCAAGCGGGAACACTAATAGAAAGTATCTTAGACACCCAATCTTGGGTTGGTTGCCGTACTATAGAAATAATATACAAAAAACAGGAATGTGCTGGGCACTGATAATACCATTAAGTCCAAGCAAGAGCGACCTTGTTGCTTGCTTTAAATCCTACTATCGACTGGATCAAAACAAGTTAGGCCTCTGCTTACGTGAAAGCAGGGATGAGCAAGTAAAGCCCAGATCCAGTGGCTAATTTATCTTTCATCTGCTCACAATTTGGACCCTGAGCTGGTCTTCCCTGCCGACCATTTCGATCGCTGCTGACCTTGTGTTTGCTACCCTATTTACACACATGATGTTATCAAATTTTGCCTACATGGCTATCTACTCAGTAAGAGTGGAAGCTTCTTGGCCGGCGATGACGATTCAGTGAGTGCTTACAATTGCGTTCTCACGGTACTAGCTAGTAGTAGTTGGTGGTGTTCCGGACTGCCGGAAGGTGTGCGTGTGTGCGTGGGTATCACGCAAGGAACTGATCATGAAACATACCGACTTACTTCCCGGCACGGGCCACTGACAAGCAAACTGCTATCAGCCTACCGTGGAACCAACCCGCTTGCTTGGCATGGTTGTGAGCGGACAGTTTGGAAATTCAAACAAAGGACCAAGCACCTTTGCAGCCAGTTGCCAGCCAAGGTGCATTGTCTTGTATTTACACATCTAATCTGTACGGTACCCTAGTAGTTGGTTATACTGCAGTCACCGGAATCTCTGGATGGATTCAGGTTGCGAGGCCAAAGGAATGTTTGGATACCGTTCTGGTGCTCGAAAAGCGAAAATCTGTTTTCATCGCTTTGAGGGGCTTTGTCAGCGTACAAGGAGATCTGGGGTATGACCACAGTGAGCAAGCCCTTAGATACATGTAGGTACATGGCGTCACACCGTCTCAGGAAGCCAGTGTGGTCGGATGTCGGATTGCAGACTTGGCTGTGGAAAACAACTTGGCCTCCTCAAGAGCTTCTGCTGAACCAAACAATTAGGAACTTTTGAGTTCTATTTTGTTGGTATGCCCACTTGCCCACGAGCACGAAGAAAGACTCACTCAGTTGTTGGTCGGTTGGTGGGAACTAGCTAGCAATGCGTTTTGTTGTCCAATGAAAGACAAATTGCAATTGTAACAAGCAAAGAACCACCACCTCCTCCGTCACCACCCCCCATTGTGCTGCGTTTTGAAAAGAGGACGGGAAGAATGGCTAGCTAGCTCGTTATGCTGATTGCATCATTCATTCCAAAGGCAACATCCACGGAAAAGCCTCTCGTTAACAAGAGGTTGCAGATTGGGTTGATTGACGCCTGGTGCTAGGAGTTCCACTGGTTTACAAGGTGCAAAAATACGTCCTGATACATTGAGGAAACAACTTCTGAAGCCGTAATGTTGCAAAATGCATGTTGTTGCTTTTATTTGTCTTGAGTTTCTGTTTCTATCTCTTCTTCTTCTTCCTCAAATGTATCCTCCAGTGCATCCTTAAAGTCCTCAGGAAAGTCTTCCCAGCCACCGTCATCGTCGAGACAATCATGGAATACAGTTTCGTCATCCCCTGCTCCGCGCCTTCGTCGGCGTCTCGTTTCAATGGTGTTGGCAACCCGACTTTTGACTTGACTGGCCCGTTCCTTGATTTGATTGGCTTTGAGAGAACATCGCTGGACTGTGTTGTGTATAGATTGGTTAAGGCCATTAGCTCCTTTGGTGAGACTCTTGTTGAGGTCATTGGCTGTTTGACTGGCTCTGACCGAGCATTTCTGCATCTTTTCATTGACGCTGTTGGCTCGTCGAGAATACCCCTCCACGGTTCGATTTACCGTTTGATTCGCCAACAGAAATTCCGACTTGTCCGCCACCAAATCTCCCACACCCCGAGCCACTTCCCCAATTTCCTTTTCGGATTTGGCAGCGGCAATGGCAGCACCTGCGCCAATGGCGACGGCGGCCACGGGAGCGCCCACAAAGCATCCCGCAATTCCGGCAGCACCCACCACGGCACCGGCAATCCCACCGGCGGCAAACGCTCCTTTTATCTGCCGTGGTGTCGCCCCCAAGTCGTCCGACGCCCCATAAACTACTTCTGGTTCTTCTTCTTCTTCTTCTTGAGTCTCTGCTTCTTCCTGTCGCTGTCGATCTGCCCAACTTTTATTGGTGCATCGCTGCCAGGGTATTGTCGTTGTCTCTGTTGCCATCTTGATGTATGTCAAAGGATGTTCTGTTTCTTTTTATGCTGCCGTGGAGTGAAGTCTGTGGTCTGTTGAGTGACAGTCTGTGAATTTTAAAATTGGTTGTGTGGGGGGAGTCGGTCGTGGAGCCGAACAAGACTCAATTATGATCCCGGTTCTGTGGCCACGATTGTACTTGTCCCATCCCATCTTGACAGCTTTGCAGACGAAGGTTTGTTTTAGACAGGCTCCGAAGGCTTTGCATTGCTTTGGGGTCTTCTGATAGCATTGCTAGTGCTGCTGCTGCTGCTGCCGCTAATATTGATAAGAGCAGTGCTGCCAACAATAAGAAGCTGAAGATGTCTCCTCCCTTCGATTCTCTTCTGTTTGCTGACGATTTGATTTGAAGTGGCCGGATTTTATCGTTTGTTGGCGTTGGACAGTACGCTTTCGTGGGGGCAGTCAACAAGAAGATGAATCAACTGTACAAAGACTACTGCAGAATTGAACTAACGAAAAATCCAAGGGAGGTAAAGGAGAAGTGGTATTCCAATCGCTCTGCAGAAATCACCGACACTATGTACAGTGAAGCATTCTGCAACCAGCAACGTGCAGAATACTGGCTCAGGGACAATTCCAGCCATAAGACACCTGATCCTCGTGATGTTTGTAGATCAATTGCTGCAGTTGGAAATCTTATGGTCATGAAATGGGCACGCCAACAAGGATTCCCTTGGACTAACGTGACATGTCTCTATGCTGCTAAAAGTGGACAGCTGGAAATGCTCCAATGGTTAAGAGAGAACGGTTGTCCATGGGATGAACCTAGTCTACATGCCGATTTGCTGCTGCAAATTGACATTTGGAAATCTTGAAGTGGGCTCGTGAAAATGGTTGTCCGTGGAATGAAGAGACAAGTGCCTGTGCTGCTGAAGGTGGACATTTGGAAATTCTGAAGTGGGCTCATGAAAATGGTTGTCCATGGAATGAAGCGACATGTGCCTGTGCTGCTGAAGGTGGACATTTGGAAATTCTGAAGTGGGCTCATGAAAATGGTTGTCCATGGATGAACGGACATGCTCATGGGCTGCTCTAAATGGACATTTGGAAATTCTGAAGTGGGCTCGTGAAAATGCATGTCCATGGGATAAACGGACATGTGAATATGCTGTCGAAATGGACATTTGGAAACTCTGAAGTGGGCTCGCGAAAATGGTTGTCCATGGGATAAACGGACATGTTCCTTTGCTGCTCAAAATGGGCATTTGGCAGTTTTAAAGTGGGCCCGTGAAAATGGTTGTCCTTGGGATGAAGGGGCATAGCAAGTGAGTGAAGTGATCCAGTGGCTGTATGACAATGGCTGCCCTGGGTCTCATGATGAAGGACACTAACAACATTTATGGTAGGTTGCTGCTGTTGGAAATAATCTAGCCAAACTGCTAAAGCTTCTGTGTTCAAAAACAGAACAAAAAGACAGCATGGGATTCTTCAGCTGCATTTTTTGCCGTAATCTACCAGGGCACCTTCCACATCCGTTCCTCTCAAGCCCCCCTGCCGCCACCGTACTGGTATCGCACCGCTACCGTGATCTCACCCATTTCCCCACCGACGCTACATCCACTACGCGAGGTAGCATGCTAACTACAAATCCTACTTCACATTTATGTAATCAATGACATGGAGCTATTCTATCCCTCTAGGCATGGCAGTACCTACTGGTACTTTCATCTCTGGCTAGAAAACACAGCCAGTTCTCTTGTTGCGCATTGCCCTGTTAATTGGATGTCACAACATTCACTCGTCCTTCTTCATATGAGACTCGTTGTGAGCAAGCGCACCTTCATCATCAGCTGTGGCTACACCATCGTCCACTTCCAAGGACTGGTGCGTTCCCCTCAAAGCCCTCTCGCCTGGTGAGGGCCGTTGTACTAATTTGATGCATCGGTTTTTGAGACATATGTAGCCCGGTGCACAGCGCGTATTACCCAGGCAACTCTTATAAGCCCCAGTCAAAGAGCGCTGATTCAGCTGAAGCTCGTGGTCGCCAGGAGCGCTACCAGCTGCCTTGCCTTCCACGGCATCCGTTGTCGAGATTATGGGGGGGTTAGGCAGCAGCGCGGGGGAGGGAAAAAGAAGAAGAAGAGGGAGAGGGTTAACCTTTGGATTCCCGATTCCGATTCACGAGCCTGCAGAGCCAAGATCCAGCCGTCCAAGGACATCGATTGATGTCACGAGACATGAACTACATATAATAAAGAGGGGAAATGGCAATGACCAGTCATCGCCCCATACAAAATCATGTCTGAAGAACAAAAAATATGTCAGCAAATACGTCACAGCGGCATCATGTCACTGGTCTCACATTGCCTCCGGATTTGAATCCAATCAACGGCTACTGTCTGGCTCGCTCTTTTTCCCTTTCCTTCGCTCGAACCCGCTCCTCCCATTTTAAATGAAACCAGCGAACGAACAACAACAACAACGAACGAACAACCACAACAACAGCACGGGCGCTACTGGTTGCGAGCGATTTCGAAAAACAACTGATCGACAATGAGGATCGCAACTACACCGGTCTTCTCACAGTGGCTGCTAAGTGTTAACAGATACCCATTCAATGAGCTGAGGGCCACAAGGCATGGATTCACTTGCAAGTACATCATTGTGGAAGAACAAGAGCCCCACCTCACCAACTACCAGAAGTTTCATTGTTTGCCCACAAATGAAGTGCCGGATTTTGAGGAGTTGATCTACCAAGGAGCATGCAAGCCTCTTCCTCCTGACATGACAGGCATCATGGATTACATGTTTGAGTGGGGTCTTCAGAAGAGTCCAAAATGGTACAGTGCTGTTCTCTCCACCCTTTATGAAATGTTGGAGGGGTCATCTCCCTGTGAAAGGAAGGACATCTTCATTGAGTGCATCTATTGGTTAGTGAGGGAAGTGATTATGGATAGCAGCTATGACTTCTACTCGAATGAAGGACAGATTGTGATGGATGCTTGGCATGGGTATTTTTGCCACTGGTATGACTACAACAACAAGTTTTCCTTCCAGGTATTGACTTCGATGAGTGAAAGTTTTGTTGATGATTGCATTGAAGACCTTGAGAATCTTGGATTCTTGCAACCACAGCATGCTGTACATTGTGGAACTGTTATGTAAGTTACTGGCTAATTTAGAAATGAAATTGATGTATCTAAATATTGACTGTTTGTTGCTATTTTCCATACCCAGTCAATCTTGATTGGCAATTAGGATCATGAGGTGGTCTTCCTCTCCTGTTGGTCAACCACTGGCAGTATCTGTGACAGCAGCCATTCGGTGGAGGAGGTGGCTGGAAAGGATATGGCAGTATGGGTTGGAATTGCCGCATTTGCATGGCAAGTTGCATCATTTGAATTTGTTGTTGTTGCTGGTATAGAATCAAATTACCAACATAAGCATTTCTTGTTTGTGGCACTGCAGGTGGTGGTGGTGGTGGTGGTGGCGGCGGCGGAGGTGGTGGAACCATTGCTGTTGCAGTCGGTGGCTCGATTGCTGGTGGACTCGGTGGTGCTGGTGGACTCGGTGGTGCTCCAGTGCAAGCTGCACAAAGACAACAATCATTTGGAGCATACTTCTGCCGCTGTGGTTTGAATGCAACAATGAACTCTGAAAAGAACCTCTCTCCATTATCCTGTGGCAGTGGCTCTGCAGTAGGAAATGGTTCATTGAGACCCACAGCCACTGCTAGCTCATTGAGGTAAGCCAACTCTGAATGATTCCAGTAAGGTACAACCTTTTCCCATCCGGCTGGAATTGACCTCCTCTCTGCCACACTGATTCTTGACAGGAAGGCTCTCTTGTGTCTAATCTTGAGGTTGTATCTTGCAGTTCCAGCCAAGTTGAGTGCATCAGCAAGGCTTCTTCTCATTCCACCATTGCCAAAATGGGCAAACTTGTCATGGAACGCTTCTAACTTGGATTCTCCTCTCCTTGATAGGTACTCTGGGAGGCTGTGCTTGGAATTGGGTGATGGTAGGATGGTGTCATACATGTCTTCCAGTGCCAGGGGATCAGCCAAGTGAGCCGCTTTGTCAACACAGTTCTCTACTGCTGGCTTGGTATCAGAAGTGAACAAGGTATAGTTCTTGGCTGGATCCAGTCGCCCCTGTCCTGGCTGGCTACCATCACTGGCTGTCACCTTGTACCTGCAGAACCACTGCTGCAACCTCTGCCTCATTGTCTCTGGTGACCTCATCTGCTTCCTTAGATACTTGGAGTACCGAGCTCTGAAGACCTTGGAGGCTTGCATGTCGGAGATCTCTGCCATGGAGTAGTGCTTGCCATTGGAGGACAAGAGGCCATGTTTCAATGCATGGAGGACCTTCTCATAGTCATCTGGTGAGTACTCATACAAGCAATCCAAGAGGTCTGTCAGTGCTTGAAAGTAATCAATGTGACCCTTCCTCAAAGTTGACAGGATCCTCTTCTCATAATGAAACAGGCCAAGTCTTCCCTCAATACCTGGAAAGAGTAACTCCCAGTAGTCATCCTTGTGGGGCCAGGTGTCACTGTACATGGCAGCTGGATTGAAGTGTCTCCTCCTTGCTAGCTGCATGGCAGCATGGGAGAAGTGGATTGTCTTGGTGGTGGGAACCAGAACTGCTGAAGCAATCTCTCCAGTCTCAGTAGCAGCATCCCAAACAGCAGCAGCACCAAGACTCTTGCTGTAGTTCTTGACAACCTGGAATGTATGGTCTTGGCAGAAGATTCCTTTGTTGCACTTGACACTTTGGATCTCTCTTGTGTGCCTTTGGTTGTCACTGATCCTCCACGGATTCCTGTTTGAAGCACAAGCAGCATCATAGATGTCACGGATGGTGTCACCAAGAGGAGGAAACTGTCTGATGTAAGTGCCATCCTTTTGAAGAAAGGGATCTGGATCTGTTTCACTTCCTTGCCAATAGGAGAAGTATGATGCCATGGCCCTAATGAACTGTCTGTTGATTGCATTGTAGATGAGCCGGCTGCAGAGTTCTCCATTTCCATAGGTAACCATTATAGTGTCGAACACTTCAGTAGCTGTTCTGTCCAAATGACAAGCCTTGTTAGGTAGAGCATACTTGGATTCCACTGGATAGAGCAATGAAGCATGGTCTGGGATCGAGACCAGCACTTCTGCAGAGTTGGCATCGAATCTTCTGTTGCAGCTTCCACAAACCATGGACATGACTATACACCAAGAAGGAGGACCAGTGATGCCAAAGATAGGGAACAAGGTCTTGTTCTTGGACCAGTTGTGCCTCGCATTCTTGAGTTGGCCAGAGCATCTTCCATCGGGACAAGGTACAGTAATTCCACATCGATTCCAGTCCACAAGGAGTAGTTTCTGGCCAACAATGGAGTGGTAGTGTGGAGATTTGAATTGATCCTCTGTGGATGGAACTGTCATGGTGAGTCCTTCAAAATGTTGGTGGAATTGTGGATTCCTTGGCTTGATAATGGATTCTGACACAGCTTCTGCCAGTGCTAGCATTGCCAGTGGTGCTCCTTTGGTCTTGTGCTGTTCCACAAAGGCAGTATTATTTACAAGAGTGGTTACCTTTTGACAGAGAGACATTGGAGAGGTGTTGCTTCTGGATGTCTTCTGTTGCTGGCTCTGATTTGGTTTGGCTGTGTTTGTTCTAGCAGCAAAGAAGGCATCTCCATTCTCCTTTGTTGAGTGCTTCCAGCTTCCTCTCTCATTCAGTGGAAGAGGAGCACTGAAGTGCCTTGTGAGTCTTCTGCTCTCTCTGATGGTTTCCATAGTCAGCTCATTCAAATTTCCTCTTCCTCTTGTTACTGTATCTTAATACAGAGAACGTGGTGTGATCTTTTTGGGACTCTGAGA